AAAAAATATGATCGTGTTTAAACAACTTTCTGGCCTTGCGGGTCAAGGAGTATTTCCTTGTCCCCCTCTCTTCCTGGCATGCAGTCTAGAATTACTCCTGTCATTACTCTCTGTAACTTGTTTCAAGTTATGGGGATCGTGCCACATTTTAATGCATTCCCAGCAACTGCTGCTGGCTTTACTTGAAGGCATGAGATCTGTAAGGGCTTTAGAAACTTGGAAGCTCTCTCTGTTCTGCTTCGGAACAGGAAATTAAACATTTTTAAATCAGCAGGTTTGTGTCCGACAGGTTTAAAGGCACCGTTGAGGAGCCTGACCATTAATGTTGATTTTCAATAACTCTTGCAACACAGGAAATTCTGAGGGAGCAAAAGAAAGTTAACATGCCAATATTTAAAAATAATAAAAGAAATGACCCAGGTAATTATAAGCCTGCCAATGTGACATAGATCCTTGCAAAAATAGTGGAACAACTAATACAAGACTGAATTAACAAAGAATTAACAGAAAGTACCATAATTAATGACAATTAATATGTGTTTATGGAAAATGATCCTATTTCTGTAATTTTGGTTGATTAAAGGATAACAATGTTGGTGTACAATACTCAAATTCCTTTACCTGAAACAAAGTAAGAAAATCCTTATGAAAAATCTGGAAGATGACAAAATCACCATGTTGCATTAAATTCTTTAGAAACCGGGAAATGAGATCTCATTTTAAACTATGAAAAGGTGTCTCCAAAGCAGCCCCATGGAGATCAGACCTTGATTCTACCCTATTTCATGTTTCTGTCAGTGATCTGTAAAAATGGGGTCATCGCTGATAAATTTTACATGACTTAAATGGAAAATGGGAAAAGAAAGAAAAAAAGAAAAAAAAAAAAAAAGATGACAGAGCAGAGATCCAAGAAAATCAGGCTTCGGTTATCAGCTGGGAAGGAGTAAACAAGGTACACTGCAAATTTTATGGTCATATGTGTACCAAACCACTCTCCCCTTTTTGGTGGCAGCATGCTATCAGACAGTTTTGTTCCTTTTGGCCATGAGTAGTGGTGCACAGTCATGGTGAAAGATCCACTGAGCTGAGCTTCAGCAAGATCCCGCTTCTCTGTGTTGCACTGGCAGCAGTGCCAAGACTCTAGAGCTGATTCCAGTTCTTTCTCCACAATAGAAATGGAATTTTTTTGACCTGATTCAGAATAAGATATTTCTAGGAGGCTTTTTAATTTAGCTGATAAAGATAAAGCAAGATCCTGGACCAGAAAGGAATTCAGACTAAGTTTAAAGCACATATATCCATCATTCTGCTAGGCTCAATTTGTTCATTCAGTCCTGGTTAAAAATAAAAAAATTACAGGTAACAGGAGAATATATATATATATATATATATATATTTCCCATGCTATTTCTCCGTAATCCCTTTTTGTAGCATTTGACATACTTTCCATCAGAAATTTCTGTCAAATCTGTTCCTATCAATGTTGAAAATATTCTCTGATACAGCACATTTTGACAGTTCTATTTTTTTTTCAAAATTGTGTAATCATTTCACTATGTGGACTTGAGATCATTCCAAGCCAAAAAGGTTATGGCATCATTTTCAATTTATTTTCAAAAGCTGCTGAAGGTAAACAAGACATCTGCCAAAACATGTCAGTTGATTTTGATCACACGTATTTCACTCTTCGCAAAGTACACCTGTCTTATCTGCAGTTTATCCGAGTTGCTAATAGAGGTTGGACTAGTTTGGCAGAACTGCTGCAACAAGTACATATGAAATACTTGAAAAATCATCCAAACATGAAAATGTGCAAGATACTGAACTGTGGTCTTCAGCTTTTTCTGCAGCATAAGTTTCTAAATTTGCTGTCAGAAATTGCATCTCCTCTGTGTGTTCATTGCCATGCGAGTTTACTGCCTCTTCTCTTATACTTGCTGGTTGATTTAGTTTTTGTTTCCATTAGTCAAGACATGGTGATTGCTCTGACATTTTAAAAACACATTTCTAAAAGTATTTTCCTTCTGAATTTGTCTCATTTGACTTTGTGGCTTGGTTTTAGCTCTATCTTTGTTTGCTGTTATTGAATTTCTGTTCACCGTATAGATTTTTATTAGACTGACCAAATTATTACAGAACTTTCTCTGTTCATAGGGGAAAATCTTCAGTAAAATTAGATTTTTTGTTTGTTTCTTTGTTTTTCAATTTATTTAATGAGGTTGATTGTACAATTCGTTCTCCGTTTTCTCTTAAATGCATCAACGAGCATCCTCTGAGAACTCTGGACACTAACTGGGCTTAATATCCGAGAAGCAGTCACACAAATGTCAAATGTAGGGTTCTGGTAGGGTGAAACAGGAGTTTTTACTTGGGCGGTATAAACTATATTATAAGTCTGGCCACGGTGTCACTCCAAGCAGTTATTCTTAGCTAATTATTTACCAAGGCTTCTAACACCTGCTCCTGATTCCCAGGAGAGGCTCCCATGTCCTAGAAACATGATTTACATTTCTTTTTTTGAGTGGGTGATCTTACAGTTGGTGATACTGAAATTTGTTTTGCAATGTCTGTATCCAGATTATTCAGCATATCTTATAGCAGCAGCTTGTCTTTTCATTGCCTATGATTTCCTCAGCTGTGTCAGACCTGAAGTGTGTCAGGTCTGGCATCTGTATCAGGGATAGCCTTGTGCTAGCTAACTTAGCTTCTAGGTTAGCTGAAATATTTAAATGAATTCTTCTTCACCATTACATTTTGTGATTTCCCAGCTTTTAATCCATTTATTATGTGGTGTGATAGTTTTCTTTTTCGTTTGTTTATTTTTTATTTTTTTTTAATTAAAATATAAAGTAAGACTAAGTCAAATACTTTAAAAAAGGATAAGCTTCTTGCACTGTCATTATTGTATATAACTTGAGGGATCCTGTACATATTCCATAACTGCTTTTCCATTCCAATTGAAGACTAGTACATTGTGGTTTCAGTAACCGATCATGCTTGCAACATTTTGGCTTTATATACTTCAGAGAAAAAGTCTGCTTCTTCTTGATTATCTTAGTGGCATCCAAACATTTTGTAATGGGCTCTTTCTAGACAGTCTTCTTTCTATTGTCAGGATAGTGCCTATGTTTTAGTAGGAGGAAATACTAAATATCATATGCATACTATTACCTTCAACTTCACAAACTCCAGCATTGCACCCATTTTAAACCTGCACAATGGGAAGAGTCAGTAATTTGGGTGTCATCACTATGACCATAATTAATCTTTGGGACTTTATATATAATCAATACTAACATTAACCCCTAGACACAAGGCTTTTCTGTAAGAGGGAAAAAAATCAACAACCGTAAAGCTCAGCTTTTTAATTGATCTTTTAGCCTTGCAAATCTTTATTTCATAAAATGCTTGGTGACACATAATTCTTAATTAACTATTCTAAATCAGTCACTCTAATGGAGGCTTGACTTTAAGGACTCATTTCTGGTTTTGTTTTCAAAACTTTCTTTCATAACAATACCGGTCAGATATTTCAATATATTAGACAAATCAAATCCTATATTTAAGGAAATGGCAGAGCAATTATAAAGCTGGTATCAGGCTTTAACTGGGACCTAGGCAAAGTGCATTCCATCCTTGATCTTGTCACAATATTTCTTCTAAAAATTTTGATTGAGTCATGCAGACCTGAGGATGGGTTTTTGGAAAAGTATGTTGAGATCTCAGCAACACGTGGAAATGTCTGAAAAAATTTTAAGTGACTTGCCTCCTACCAGCAGCCAGCCACCATGATTTCCACATGGTCAACAGTGCAGCTTAACCACCTTCATTCAGGTAGGATGTGTCAGCAGGAACCTTAAAAGACACGGGTTATATCAGATCACAGTTCCCTTTGTGTCTGGTCTAGTGGAAGTAGCTCCCTTCTGGTTTTCATAACAGTCTTCAATGCAATGCTTAAGTTCTTTCTTCAGAGAAACCCATCAGTAGAAAGGTGAGGGTGGAAAGGAGAGTCACCCTTCCTTTTAAACAGCACTGGAGACAGAAGCCTCTGTCCCTCTCTGATTCTATAACTGGTTGGAAAGTTCAGTGATTTTTATGTTAGCCTTGCAGCTTTTAGCTGTGCTATATAAGTTCTCAAGATACTGATCTAGGAAAACATACATTTACAGATTCACAGAATCACAGAATAGTTGAGGTTGAAAGGGACATCTGGAGGCCACCTGGCCAAACCCCTGCTCAAGCAGGGCCATCCAGAGCAGGCTGCCAAGGACTATGTCCAGGTGGCTTCTGAAGATCTCCAAGAAAGGAGACTCAACAACATCTCCAGGCAACTTGTGTCAGTGTTTGGTCACCTGCACAGTACAGAATTGCATCCTGGTGTTCAGAGGGAACTTCCTGTGTATCAGTTTGTGCCCATTGCCTCTTGTCCTGACACTGGACACCACAGCAAAGAGCCTGGCTTTGTCCTCATTGGACATCTTCAGGTATTCATAGACATTGCTGAGATCTCTCCTGAGCCTTATCTTCTCCAGGATGAATTTCCCTGGTTGTGATCTAACACCAGCTGAGGTGGTCAATTTGGTTGACAAATGAAAGGTCAATTCCCTCAGAGACAGAAAGTTTTCTACTCCAGACCCAAGTTGGGTAAGGTGAATTTAGTACAACCTAACAGTACAAAATAGAGATCAGGGATCTGGCAGAGGAACAAGTAGAAATAAAACTGCTCAAAGCCTAAGAGTGATGATGATCAGTGAGCAGTGGGCTGTGAGGTGTTCTGAATTGCATTAAAAGTGAGAAACTAGGAGATGGGCAGGAAAGGAGCATTTATCTGTATCTGTTGAGCTTCAGTACAGTGTTGTTTTTTTTTTTTAAAAACCTTCCTCGAATAAAAAGTACTGATTTAAGTTTGCAAATCAAACTTTAAATTAGAGTAGGGTTATATCTGAGGCTTGCTGGAGATAAATCCCAGTGAAACCCTGGGTTCACTAGAAAGACTCCCATTGACACAGCAGGGTTTTATTTCTTTATTGGTTTGAATCATACATAAGATGGAAGGGTCTTGTTTGAACTTTCATTCCACATAAATGTTAATGCATTTTGGAACACCCTGCCTACATTTTAGATCCTCAAGATCCTTTAAGGGTGTTTTTCTTAAGTTTCGAAAATATTCTCATTAAATCCATTAAAATGCATTTCTTAGAGTGTTTTAAAAACACTTATATTAAAAAGGAGCATTTGTCCCTATACGCATTAGTAATCCAAATGCCATTGTTTAAAATTAATCTACTGCAGTACTCTTTTGACACCAGAATTGCTCTTGAAAATTTTCCTTAGCATACTTTTAAAAAGACTTTTTAGCTTTTTTCTCTTACTGTACATGCATTTAACATCTCTTCATTTCAGTCCCTTTGTGCACTGAAGACCCACACTGTCTGCTGTGGTATTTAGTACTCCTCCACTTCCCTTGCATAGCAGTATGTGCTCAGTAATAGCTGTAATCTGCTTTTCTGGATAAATAATAGTTTTCAAACATCCTGCATATGTTCCTAAAACAAGGGGACTGCATGGAAATGTAGGATTCTCAGAAGAGCAATCTGACCTTAAATTGAAAGTCTGTGGTACAAACACACTGATCAACATGCCTGAAAGTAAAACAAGGAATGAGCTAACTTTATGAAATTTCCATGGTCTCTATTACTGTTTCAGCATCCTGAGTTGAAGACAGAGGAACTGCATGTTCCTTTCTTCCAGAATTGTCTGTCCCTTCAGTATAGGCTGTAAGTCCACATTGCAGCTGCTTTGCCCCACTTGATTGCTTCAAGCCAGCTGGAAACTGGTTAATGGAGCTGGCACTTCTGCTGACAGGTGGGAATCCTCTGTGGAAAAATAGTGGATTTCACAGCTTTTAATCATCTATCCTCTGTCTCTATGTCCTGGGTATTTTGGAGGAGAGAATGGAGTGGAAAGCTTCAGTGACGCTGTGAAGACCCCACGCACACTTTTAGGTCAGTCCCAAGGCCACTGCTGGAACTCTGTTCCTGTTTGCAGTGCTGGCTCTGTTTTGCCTTAGCCTCCATCCTGCACCAAAATTTCTCTTCATCAATACCTGGTCCAGAAACACAGCACATTTTCCAAGGCTTTCCTAGCATTTGTCCCTATCTCTGAATCATCAGCATCATCCTTCAATCATAGGATCACAGAATCATAGAATCGTAGGATCATAGACTGATGATTTAAGGTCCCTTCCTTTGTTGGAAGGGACCTTAAAGTCCATCTATTTTCCACCCCCTGACATGGGCAGGGACACCTCCCACTAGCTCAGGTTGCCCAAAGCCCCATCCAACCTTGCCTTGAACACTTCCAGGGAGACAGATGTGATAACATGATGCTTTTCTGTGACAGGAGCCACACTTGATTTGTGTTACTGGCACCTGAAGCCTCCTACCAGAAAGGTGTTTTTTTCACCACCATTTAAAAAAAAAAAAAAAAAAAAAATCATCCCCCTCTCTCTTTAAGTAATCCAATAATTGGCTGCCGAGGTGTGCAGAGGCTTCCACATCATCTCGCTGCTATGTGAGATAACACAATTAGAGCAAAACTTAAACTACCGGAAAATGCGTTGAGGTCCATTTCAGCCCCTATGGCCTGAAAAAATGTTAGAATTTATCATTTAGACGCATCATTTTGCAATGGCTTTCCTCTGTTTTGCAAAAGCATGAAAACATAACATAAGTAAAATTTTTCTTCTTGCCAGCACCACTTATTGTGTACTTGCTGAAGTATTTGCTTTTATCTGATAGAAGCCCATGAGTCCAAGGTCACAGTAGAATAGCATCCAATGCTTTCCTTTCCATATAAAAATTATTTTCTCTTGCTAATGTCTGTAGCCTTTTGCATTTCTCGCATTTATCTGGTATTCAAACTGGCTGGTAAACAGCTAATTTTAAGCTAACGTTGCAGTGCAGTTAATAAATGAATTCTGAATTTTCCACTACTAATTTTCACGCCACGAACCTAATTTTAAAGTTTTTTATAGTCAAATCAGGTAACGAATTATACTGTACTCAATCAAAACACTAACATGAACAAATTTTTGCTCTTCCTGAAGAGCACATTAAAAAACAATATTTATAAGAACTTCAGAAAAGTACTGAAAAAGAAACAAACAACAACCAACAGAAGAAGATCATACAGTAAGAAAGCAAAACTTTGCTGCATTGACTGTGAATTATATCTCTAGTAGTGAAGTGCCATTAAAAGCAAATAGATACGTATTTTCCTTGAAAAATGTTTATCTGTCCTTGTCAGTGCAATCATCTTTATTTTTTTCTTAACATAAACAGTTTTTTACTTACAAAACATTTTCTGTTGTAAATTCATAAAGCTGCACACGTTAAATGTTCCTTCCTACCTTAAATCTAGCTTTCTTCAAACATATTGCGATCACTGAGTCTTTGTGGGACAGCTCTCATGACTGGAATGCTGTCATTGAGGGCTACTGCCCTCTTTAGGAAAGACAGGCTGGGGAAGTGAGGGGGTGGGGTTGCCCTTCATGTGAGGGAGCAATTAGAGTGTACCCAGCTCCAGCTGGGGGAGGGTGAAGGACAAGTGGAGAGCTTGTGGGTAAGAATTAAGGGGTGGTATGGGAGACACGGTGGTGGGGGTCTACTACAGGTCTCCAGATCAGGAGGAGGAAGTCAATGAGGCCTTCTACGAGCAGCTGCTAGTAGCCTCATGATCACAAGCGCTGGTCCTTGTGGGGGACTTCAATTACCCAGACATCTGCTGGGTAAACAACTCGGCCAGGCATGAGCAGTCCAGATGGTTCCTACAATGCTTTGAGGACAATTTTCTGACGCAGGTGGTGGAGGAGCCAACGAGGCGGGGGGTGCTCCTGGACCTCATTCTTACCAACAGGGATGGCCTTGTTAGGGATGTGAAGGTTGGGAGCAACTTGGGATGCAGTGACCATGAGATGGTGGAGTTCCAGATGGAACTAGGCAAAGGAAGTAAGGCTAAAAGCAGGATTGCTACCCTGGACTTTCAAAGAGCCAACTTCGACCTGTTCTGGGACCTGCTTGGGAGTATCTCATGGGCTAGGTTGCTAGAAGGCAAGGGTGCTTGTGAGAGCTGGGCTACATTTAAGTAGAACTTCTTCCATGCTCAGGATCAGTGTATCCTGAAGAATACGAAATCGGGGAAGGGGGGCAGGAAACCCGTGTGGATGAGCAAGGAGCTCATTGATAAGATCAAAAGGAAGAGGAAGGTCTATGAAATGTGGAAAAGGGGCCTGTCCTCTTGGGAGGAGTATAGATGTGCTGTCAGGGCCTGCAGGGACGTGACAAGGAAGGCTAAAGCCCACCTAGAGATGAGGCTTGCAAAAGAGATAAAGGATAATAAGAATGGTGTTTTCAAGTTTGTAAACAGTAAGAGGAAGACTAGGGATAATGTGGGTCCCTTGCTGAATGAGGGGGGTGTCCTGGTCATGGGAGACGCTGAGAAGGCAGAGATACTGAATGCTTTCTTTACTTTTTGTTTACTTCAGTCTTTGCTTCAAGGACACTCCCCCAGGACTCCTCGCCCCTGGCAACAGTACAAAGGGTCTTGGAAATGGAGGGCTCCCCCCGGTGGATGTGAGAGTAGTTCAGGAGCCTCTGAGTGGGCTCAACGCACACAAATCCATGGGTCCTGATGGGATGCATCTGTGTATGCTAAGGGAGCTGGATCTTTGAAAGGTCCTGGAGAATGGGTGAGGTGCCTGAAGACTGGAGGATAGCCAGTGTCACTCTGGTCTTAAAGAAGGGCAGGAAGGAGTATCTGGGAAACTGCAGGCTAGTCAGTCTCACCTCTGTCCCTGGAAAGGTACTGGAGCAGCTTGTTCTGGATGCCATCTCCAAGCAATTGGAAGAGAAGAAGGTTATGAGGAGTAGTCAGCTCAACCAACCTCATTGCCTTCTATGATGGCATCATCAGCTGGGTAGATGGGGTAGAGTGGTGGACGTCATCTGCATTGACTTTAGGAAGGCTTTCGATACTGTCTCCCATGATATCCTACTAGCAAAGCTGAGAAAGTGTGGGATAGATGAGTGGATGGCAAGGTGGGTTGAGAACTGGCTGACTGGCTGAGCTCAGAGGGTGGTGATCAGTGGAGCAGAGTCTGGCTGGAGGCCTGTGACTAGCGGTGCTCCCCAGGGGTTGGTGCTGGGTCTGGTCTTGTTCAACATCTTCATCGATGACCTTGATGAGGGAATAGTGTCTGTCCTCAGCAAGTACGCCGATGACACAAAGCTGGGAGGAGTGGCTGACACGCCAGAAGGCTGTGCTGCCATTCAGTGAGACCTGGACCGGCTGGAGAGATGGGCAGGAAGAAACCAAATGAGATTTAATAAGAGCAAGTGCAGAGTCCTGCAGCTGGGAAGGAACAACCCGAAGTATCAGTACAGGCTGGGGGACAACCTGCTGGAGAGGAGCTCTGACAAAAAGGACCTGGGGGTCCTGGTGGACGACAGGTTGGCCATGAGCCAGCAGTGTGCCCTTGTGGCCAAGAGGGCTAATTTTTAATGGTGTGCATTAAAAGGACTGTGGCCAGCAGGTCAAGGGAAGTGATCCTCCCCCTCTACTCTGCCCTGGTCAGACCTCACCTGGAGTACTGTGTCCTGTTCTGGGCTCCCTGGTACAAGAAAGACAGGGATCTCCTGGAAGGAGTCCAGCGGAGGTCCACAAAGATGATACAGGGCCTGGAGCATCTTCCCTATGAAGAAAGGCTGAGAGACCCGGGTCTGTTCAGCCTGGAGAAGAGAAGACTGAGAGGGGATCTCCTCTATGTATATAAATATCTGAGGGGTGGGGGACAGAAGGATTTAGCCAACCTCTTCTCAGTGGTTTGTGGGGATAGGACAAGGGGCAATGGCTGCAAGTTAGAGCACAGGAAGTTCCACACTGACATGTGAAAGAACTTCTTCACGGTGAGGGTGACGAAGCATTGGAATAGGGAGGTTGTGGAGTCTCCTTGTCTGGAGATATTCAAGGCCTGTCTGGACGCCTACCTGGGCAACCTGCTCTGAGGAACCTGCTTTGGCAGGGGGGTTGGACCTGATGGTCTTTCGAGGTCCCTTCCAACCCCTACAGTTCTGTGATTTTGTGATTCTGTGATATTTTTTGCAGTATTTTCTGTAAAATTTGTCTTTCTTCATATCAAATATTTAGATAATTTATTTTTCACTAGTGTAAACCAGGACACATTTTTTTTTTCACTCACTCTTAAATTTAAAATAGAAATGCATTTCTTGTCAGTTCTTCATTGCACTAGGCAATAGAATAAAAGCAGCAAGGGGAAAACAGAAAAGTAAATTTTATATTGTGAATGAGACCAAATAAAATTGATTGTGAAGTCTGATTACTGGAAGTAAACCTGATGTATTAATGTCCCTTTTCTTTAGTCTAGAGGGAAACTGCTATTTTAAAAGTGTAACTCCATGACCCTCATTAAATGAAATATAAACTTGGAAAAGAACTGACAGAAAAATATTCTAATATTTAAAAGTTTTGAGACTGCTTTCTCCCCTGTTTCATCTTTTCCTAACGTTTTCCAAGTCTTCAGTGTCTCCCATGCTTGTAACATGTTAAATCAGCCAATGAAGAGCATCAGGATGTTTTGGTCTGCGTGGCTGGATGCCTAAATCACATTTTGTGAGTGAAATTGATCAGTCTCAGTGGTTAGATGCTAAAGGCACACTTCCTGTTAAGAGCACTCCTTTTTGAAGATGCAAAGTCACAAATGCTTTTATGTGAATACTTTTAAGAGATGTAAAATCTTAAGTTTTCCAACTTAAAGTTTTTGTCAGTTCAAACATTTTTTTTTGCCTCCTCAACATAGGACCCTAGGCCAGGTCAGCTGTGCCTCTGTCCAACCAAGTCTTGCAAACTTCCAAGGATGGAGATTTTGCAGCCTTTCTGGGGAACCTGCACTACCTTTCTAGTGAAAAGAGGCTTGTAAAATTATGAATGGCAGAGACAAAGTGGACAGAAAACATTTTTTCCTCTCTATTTTTAAATGCAATAACTAGCAGATAGAATTTATTATCAGTTGGCAGCAAAAAAGGAAGGTATTTTTTGTAAAATGAATAGTTAACCTGTGGAATTTCTTGTCACTGGATGTTGTGAACGCAGGACTTTTACCAGGATTCAACAACAACAATAAAAAAAATAATCAAGAAGGGTAAACCCATTGTGGGTTACAAGTAGTAGTATCTCCAGCTGAGTATGTGCCTGTGCTACAAATTCCTAGAGGCTGAGAAAGTACACTGGTAAAATATTCACAATATGCTTGCTCAACTTTTTTATACTCTTCATAGGCACTGGCCAGTGCTGGAGGTGGGACAGTGGTCTAGAGTGTCCTCTGGTGACTTGGTGCAGCAGTTTTATATGCATGCTTTATGTGCTTATGAAAATCATATGCAATAGTTATTCTTTTATTTTTTCCTTTTACTTTATTTATTTATTTATTTTCCTGAATTGGAAACAAACATTGGTTTGAACTTCATTATTAATACATTTTGTGGGGGTCCATTTTTATTTCTCTTTCCCCCCAGTTCTGACTGCAATTCTGTTCTCATAGCTATGGTATTGAAGTGCCTGTGAAAGTAATTATCGCAGAATCACAGAATCATCTAGATTGGAAGAGACCTCCAAGATCATCTAGTCCATGATATGTGGATGTCTAAATCCTCCACAGAAAGAGCACTTCTGTCATGTTGACACCAACCCAGCTCAAGCTCAAAAGTGCAGTGGTGTGGATGAAAAGACTTGAGATAGCTTTATTAAAGTCCAGTGGGGATGTGCTAAGTGAAAAAGAGGCAATTTGATACAGGAATTCACTACACTGTCAAATATTTGTCATATCTTAATTCTTCTCAAACCTCTCCTAAGGAAAATGGAAGGTTTTTTTTTTATTATTATTTTTTAGTGAGTATTGCTGCTCACAGTTAGCAAAAGTTTCCCTCCCACATAGAGACTTTTAGCATACGAGCTCTATTAACTTGGAGTCAAGGCTTCACAATAGCTGGTGACAGCTTTTCCGGAGCTGTGAGAGCCCAGGAAGACACAGCGCTTCTGGTACTGGAAATGACAGTGCTCTTCCTAAGGTCAGAACATCAATTTTTACATCGACTGTAGTACCCTTCAGTACTGTGAAAGTGATTTCTCTTGTGCTATCGGTACAGAGAGAGTGGGAGAGTTATTTCCTTTACTTTTGAATGAAAACTACTAAATAAAAACAGCAAAGCTGATTTCTAAAGGTAGCTTAAAGACATTATTCAAACATTGCATTTTCAATTAACTTAGGCATATGAAGCTGTACTTCCAGAGCTTGCTACACAAAAGCTGAATCAGTTTTAGAAAGTCCACAGCTTTTTTTCTCCCTGTGGCTAGAACTAAAACCCATCGAAGTTCAGAGGGAATCTCTATCTGATGTCAAAGGGTTTTGTATCAAAACTAATTGTGGTGTGGAACCCCTGT